TCAGGACGATTCGACGATGGAGGCAACTATAACTTCATGCTCATCTTACTTTGATATCTTCATAGCAATGATGAAGACTGGCCTCGTGAATGAGCTTGCTTTCAGCAACTTCAAGGCAAATGCATACTGATTCAACCGTTCAAAGGTTTCTAGTGTATGCTTGGATGATACTGATTACGGGTTAATTTGGTGCGAAAATTCTGGATGATTTCATGTAAGAGCTCTCTCATGATAGCTCAGTATTACGAGTACTTTCAATTGCAAACGCTTGAATGGCAAAAATTCGAATGAGAATGACAGCGATAGCATATGACCATGTCTGCTCGAAGCAGTTGTCAGTTAATTCTAGAGAGCCACAGAATTGCTCACTCATGTTATTCCTTGATAGATGATCAAGTACCAACGAGGTGTTCAAAAACAAATACGTCTTAAGTGAGCACAAACAAATGAGCAGCGGCAACGCGATCAAGTAAACAAACAAGAACAAGTGACTAATTATATTTACGGGTGAATTTAAACAACGAAGGAACAAACTTTGGATGTGATGAAAAGCTCTTCACGTTTAATTTTACCGGATCGGATTAGATCTGCGAGAACATTGCCGGTAATGTGTTCATTCTCATACATCGCAGCCGTATCGATATGTCTGTATCCAATGTCGATCGCCGTTCGAATTGCATTCTCTAACTCGACTGGTGTGGAATACTGAATACAATTTCTGGATTCAATTCACTCTGCGCATTTCATGATAAACATAAACTACACACATGATCTCTAAGGGAAATGAGATTGTTAAGAACTCTAAGAAAGTTAAGTGACAATCGAAAGAATATGGAGAAATTTGAGCGTTCAATGTGGTCAAAAATACGGATGAAACTGAATAATATGACAAACCGAGAATTAGATATAGAAAATGAGATATACTATTGAGATTACCAGGTATAAATATAAATATAGCATAGTTGAATATAAATTAAATACATTAGTAAATATTCTGTACAAATATAAATACGAATAAATATAAATAAAAAATAAAAAATATCTATATAAATAAATATAAACATAACTATAAATCAGAGATATAAATATATTAGTATTTTCATACAGGCTAAACATCCATTGAGAAGATTCGATTACCACATTTGCACTTGATCCTCTTCATTTCAGTAATATTTTAATCCCATAAATAAATTGGAACAATCAAGAGCCTTTGCAATTGTATCGATCAACTAATGACTGAGAATCTAGGTTTTAGACTCATCGGATGCATCCTTAAAAGTACCTTAAGAAGTAATTGACTCAAGACACTTACCAAGCCACCAGTGCCAAGGCCAATGAGGGGAATTTTAACACCATTCGACAACTGCAAGCAATTCATTCCGAACTGTGCTTTGCCACTGGCCACTGAAAATAATTCACTTGTGGATGCAACAACCCTCATACGATGTGAATAGAATGACGAGAACAACAACAACAACAAC